TATAAAATAAAAGCTCCATATTTATAAGTACAATTATGAAAATGACATTCAAAAATGAAAACTGAATAACATTTCCATGCTTACTAGATGTTTTAAAAATCTTACCTCATGGCTTAAAGTACAATGATGCTTAAAATTTTATCGCTATTTTTTTTAGAGACATGGTCTCACTCTGTCGCCCAGGCTGGAGTGCAATGGCAGGATCACAGCTCACTATAGCCTTGAACTCCTGGTCTCAAGTGATCCTCCTGCCTCAGTCTCCCAAGTAGCTGGTACTACAGGCATGTGCCACCATGCCCAGTTATTTATTTATTTATTTTTTAATGAGATCTAGCTACGTTCCCCGCCTCAGCCTCCTGCGTAGCTGGGCGTACGGGGGTGAGTCACCGCCCCCACCTTTCTGGTTTTCAAAACACCAAAACCAACCAGATTTCCTCCCTGGGAAAGAATACATAAGGCTTTTTGAAGCTGAGCAGTGAGCATCTTGTGGGTTTTTATGAATTGTCATCCAGACCAATTTTGCCATGTTGAATTTTCACAGCTATGTATATAAAAGGAATTTTAGCTTATAGAAATTTCTCATTGAATAGGTTGTTAGGAAGGAATCTATGAATATGAAATTTGTATGAATCCAAATGTAACGAATTGTTCTTTCATTTGGGGGCACCTGGATTTATTCGGAGCCAAAGAAGAAGCCAGTATACAAGGTCTGTCCGGAAAGTATCCAGCTATGTAATATGAAAAATAGAGACATTTAGTGAAGAAGATACAACATACAAGAAACATTGTACATAGGACAATGACATCTCAGTCCCCTTCAAAGTAGGCATCTTGGGACTTCACACAGTTCTCCTAGCCTCTCTTAACCTGACCCCTACACGTTTGACATTCTCAGGTGCTCTGCCTGTTGCAGGCCTTCCAGAACATGGATCGCTTTCAACAGATTCTCAACCATCTTTGAAGCGTTTGTGCCACACTTTTATTTGTGCTGCACTCATTGCATCGTTCACGAAAGCTTTATGGATCATCCGAATAGTTTCCGAGGAGCAATGTTCAAGCTTAACACAAAGTTTGATGCAGATTGGTTGCTCTACTCTCTCAGTCATTTTGAATGAGAGGGCCACACAGGACACACGCTCACTCAGTGGCATCTAGTGCTCCACTGACTAGTACAGTGAGGGCGCCATTGTTCACGCATGAGCAATACAGTCCACTTCCCTTGGCCGCCAGGTTACATGGATGTTACGCAAACCGTTCTCATTATATTAACAATGGCTGGATACTTTCCGGACAGGCCGTGTATATAGAGACATGGAAAGTGATTAATGGCCTAAGATTTTGGAAGCAATGGGAGGAGTTGGGACCAAGAGAGTAGGTGGCAGGTGAAACCTTGGAAAAACCAAGACTCGCCTTTTTCTCCAAGATTGCATAAAAAAAAAAAAAAACCAAAAGAATACATGCAAATTTAGAGTACATTTTAGAATTGGGAAGGACAAAAGTTGAAAGGAGTTGTGAGCTGCATTAAGTGCTCTGCCAAAGATGAAAGTCATAGTGCTGGGTTTGGAGGCCAGAGGACAAAGAAAAATAATTTCAATCAAAAAATCTCTTTTCTAGTTTGAGAAATTGGGTACAAAGATAAATTAAAAGATGACCTCGCTTCATTTAGGAACTGCTGGGTTTTTAATATTCTTCTTGAGTAATTTTATCCTGAATACATTCATGAGGTGTTCTGGATCAGAGACAGCGCTCCTGCTGAAACCTCACCGTGAGTAACAGGGGTTTGCCCTCGTCCTTGTCCCCAGCGCGACGTGACGAGAGCCAAGTCAGTTGTCCTGGAAGAGCAGCCGGACACCTCCTAGGTGAGGGAGGGAGAACAGGGACTTTCCCTGCTCACCAAGGGGAAAGAGGTGGCTCCCCGCCTCCCTCCTGAAAGGCTCTCCCAACAAGGTCCGCAGGCCACAAGGTAAGGACCCCTACGCACTAGAGGATGAGGAAGATACACATAACAATGGCTAATAATCTTCCGAAATTTAAAAAAGACATGAGTTTTAATGGGGCCACATAAGATGAATTATTTAATTTTGAGATCTATATTTTTTTAAAATACTGACATTCACTTTAAAAAATGATTTGTCGTCTCTATATTTACATTATTTTACAATTTTAAAATGGTTTTAATAGGATTATTTTCAAAGATATTGAATCATTTTTCTATCCTAGGAAAGTTAAATGTTCTTCTTCTCTATAGAAATTCTTTACTATTGATCTTAGGATCCTTTATCAAAATTAATGAGCACTGCTATAATTTAATTATAGCCACAATTTATTTTTATGTTACAAATGTTCTCTAAGTGGGTAAGATGAATTGAATTCCTATTTTCTTTTATGAATATTTAATTATACATTAAAGATAAGAGAAATGCTGAATTTCTAACTCCTATTTAGTGTGAAATCTACTTAGTATAATAATAATAAAATGATTATTTGTATTTGACTTTTCATTTTACAAAATGCTTTTAACATAATATCTTATTAAATATTTCCTAGAATACTCTGAGGCAGGGATTACTAGCAGTAATTTTTAATATGAGACAAAATGATCTGGAAAGGTTAGTTTGGCCAAAGTCACCAGGCTCGTCTGTGTACTGCTGGGGTTGCTACTGCACTTCATCTTCCCTATAATACATGATGTATTATAATATGTTAATTGTCCTACATATAGCTCCAGTTCAAATTCTAAATGTGATTTTCAGTGATAGCTTGGACTTTAAGACCGTTTGTTTTAAAAAATATTATTTGGTTTTGTTATGAAATACAAATATATAATTGCAATAACAGCTACAGCAGTAAAGGACATTCAGTAGCCTAGTGATATGCTGAAATATGCACAGGCACAAAGACCCTGTAAAAAGAGAGAAATTATATATGGAGCTGGGTGATTATATATATTTAGGATATTATGTAAAGATATACAAAAGGCTCAGGACATTATGCTAAGTCAAATAAGCTAGTTGCAACAGGACAAATACTGTATGATTTCACTCTTATGAGGTCGCTGGAGTCAGATCCATAGAGACAGAAAGTGGAACAGGGCTCTCGGGGCCTGGGGGGGGTGGAATGGGGAGTCAGTGTTTAACGGGGACAGAGCTTCTGTTGGGAAGTTGAAAAAGTTTGGTGGTGGATGGTGGTGATGGTTGTGCAACAGCGTGAATGTGCATAGCACTACTGAACTGTGCCCTAAAAATGGTTAAGATGGTGAATTTTATGTTATGTGTATTTTATTACAAATGAAAAAAAAACGTTTCCAATTATTTTGCAAATATGGATTTGTGATGCACTTGGTTTTTATAATGTTATTTTCTCTACTACTAGTGTACATGTTTTTAAAAATTTTAAAGTAAGTTGACATTTTCAAAAATGCCTTTTGCCACATTTTCCACGCAGGGCACCTTTCTCTTTCACTATTTCTTTTCCACTGTTGCCTTGTCTGCAGGTGGTTCAGTGATGGATGATATAATATGACTACATACATGTTTTGTGTTAAGAATTGCAAAAGATTTCGGGAAACTTATGCTGATGCTTTTCAGGGGAAAATGATGAGTTTGTAAAATACATGAATCATAAACCTATGGCATCTGAATTAACACTTGAGGGATGAGCAGACATTCACGAGATCTCTGAGGGGAGGAAGGGCATTCCAGGCAGATGGAACAGCCTGTGCAAAAGGATTGGGTGGGGGGAGCGGAGGGGAGGGCAGCCACTCAGTGGTGGCGAGGAGGGATCAGGTAAGGGAGGAGGCGGCTGCCAGCCATAGCCCAGACCCTAAAGGGCCAGGAGCGCCCAAGGAGCACTTGGGATTTTCCCCTGGCTGATGTGGTGGCCAATGAAGCATTTTAAAAACAGTCTACATTTGGCAAGGTCACTCTGATACCGGTGTGGGGGGCAGACTAGAGAGGAACAAACCACAGGCAGGACCAGGCTGTTGGAATCGTGGGCACAGGGAAGGTAGAGGTGCGGAGTTCAGAGGCAGTAAGACTGTAGAGTCAGTAGGACTTTTGACCTTGGAATTTCAATAAATAATACCTGGTTGCAAGTGGAAAGTCTTGAAAATCAAGACAAATAATGGAATAAGAAATAATCAGGTAGCAGTACCTGCTAACATGTAATCCCAGGACATATTCGTTGTTTTCTATAAGCAAGTTTTTTTTTTATATTTGAATGAAAATTCTTACCTAAGGTCTGGAAAGGGGTCTGCTCTGACAAGGGGTGTCTCCACTGAGTGTTCAAAAAGAGCTCCTTCAGGCCCTAGACAAAGACCAAAGATGTATCAGGAACAGAGGTAAAATGAGTGGCGTCAAACAAATTAAACATTTAGCCTACATATTAAAGCACACACAGATTTTGTTCTTTGTTGCTGAATTTGTACAGATGTTTGAGCTACAAGGGAAAAAAATACATTCAGCTGCTTCCGTACTTGTCAGAGGATGCCATGATTTCACTAGGTTCCTGTCAACAAAATATGATTTTCAAAGCAATCACAAATCAGCAGGCTTATTTTAAAACTAGAGAGCAATATTAGCCGTCAAATTGTAAAAGAAAAAATTCCATCTGAAAACTGCATCTATATAATTTTAGGTAATAGTAATGTGACTAATTCTGTAGATTTTATGTGTAAAAATTATATCTTGTGCCATTTGTTTCTAAGGCACATCAGGATATTTATGGAAAAATCAAAAATTTTAAATATTTAAAATAGATCTTCTACTTCCTAGGAATCGGTATGTCACCATTTGTTTCTTTTCTCTGAGGTCCTAATTGTGTGCAAGGCCCTGTGTCAGCTGTTGTGCAGGCAAATACTGGGGACAGTGGCATGTTCTTTGGTGTACCCTAACTTGTTTCATACTCAGAATGCTGTGATGCAGGTGATATTTTCTCATTTTACCCAGGAGGAAACTGAGGAACAGAAAGGTTAATTAACTGGTCTAGGGTTACATAGCTGAGAAGTGGCAGGGCTGTAATTTGAATTTAGAATCCACCCTATAGATTAAATTAAATCTATATGCTATAGAGTTTCTCATACATAAACAGCAAACAATATATGATAGACATTAATATGCCACTAACAAAGTGCAACTAAATTATTTTGATGGTCACCATCAGGGAAGAATTATTTTAAGGCAGCAGTGAAGACTATACAGTAAAATGCAGTGGATCTGAACCTTAAAATAAATAGGTGTTTATGAACACATGGGGTTGTGGGCAAGGATTTTAAGAAGAGCAGTAGCCCCAGGGCAGGAAAACGTGCTGAATGTGTAGGAATGAACGAACACTCCGGTTCACTGGAAATGCAGGATTCCACATGGAAATACAAGTTTATCTTTCATATTATATTTAAAATAATTCTCCCCTTGTATTCTATAAGCACACACAGATCGAGGCAGCACCACACTGCCTATGTGCAGTGACTTGCCTGGCTTGGTCACGCTTATCTTAGGACCCAGCCCTGGTTTGGGCCCCTCCGGGGTTAGGGGCTGCAGTTTGCAAACAGTTGGTTTCTGTCCTTGGTTCCGCAAAGACCTCAGGACTTGTCCTCACACTGGGGAGACTTTCTCCTTTAGGAAATGCAGATGGTTCCAGAATGACGATGGTTCAACTTTGTCACGGGTTTATTGGAACGGAACCCCATCGCGAATCACTGAAGCGATTAGAATGTTTATTTTCTAACCTACCCTTGTACTAGTTTTGAGATTAGACATTGAAAAAAAGCCACCTGGGTGCAAGTTCCCCAGACACTAGGTTGAGAAATGCTCAATGCGAAAGGGCTGTCAGAGCCCTTACTAATTTAACTATTCACAATAGCCTCTTGTCCTTGCCACAGTAGTACTAACCAGGTTAGTGTCTTTATTATAATTACTGCTTCCCTAGTAATTTTATTTTATTTAAATGTGAAGACATGACAAAAACCCAACTGAAAGCCCTATTCGAGGAATAATATCTTGTGGCACATAAGGAGACTTAAATCAGTACAAAATGAAATTTTAAAATTATAGACGGATTTAGTGAAATGATTTACATAAAAACTATAATAAACTGAAACAGAAGAACACACATAAGTGCAAGTTAATGTTTCATGAACATTATATTATAATTTACGTGAATTATATTCAGATGGGAAACAGACCCTCACGCATGCTATAGCAAGTCACATCTTAAAACACCACTTCAGCAAACCTAAATGATAATGGGACCATTATGTAACGTAAGGCTATACTGAGCACTGGAGTTTCCACAATAATCTGTGCCAATCAAATTGTACAGTGCAGTGTCTGGGTTGCCTGAAGTAGAGACAACACTTTCCTTTTGGCCAAGAGCAGGGAACAATTTAGCAGACTAATTTGTATGGTACACATGTCCCCTTTACCCTTTTCTTTCCTCCTTGCTTCTACTAATTTGCAAAACATAAAAGAAAAAGTAAAGAGAAATACACCTCAAGTCAACTTTAAGAAGACAAGTGGAGATATGCTAGGCATTGTTTTTTTTTTTTTTTTTT